TTTCTTGAAGGAGAGTGGTGACTGGGGGTTTAAATATCAGGAGTGAGGAAGGCTGGCAGTGTGCTGCTTGGAGGTAGTGCTGACAGAGATGGTAGGGAGAAAGCAGCGACATGGGTGCCCTGATAGGAGAGGAACTACTGGAACATGGCTGGCAAAAAAAGGTTTGGTGGTTCCAAACAGGCTGAAAAAATTGTTTTTGTGGATAACTATTTTCACAGACTGCCATGCAGTGGTGAGGCAAAATAAGCCGTGTAGTGGTCTAGTTTTAAAAACATGTGAAATAAAGTAAGTGAGGCAGGGGAAAGGGTAACCTTGGCTTTAAGTTGCGCTTGAACTGAGAGTCAAATATCTGTGAGAGTGAATGTGAGGTGCATCTCAGGAGCAGAAGGTGGTCTGAGGGTGATGGAAACAGAGAGATGAGAATTTCGCTTCTGAGGAGATGTAGGAGAGAGAAAAGTGTTGTCCTGAACTGAGCCTTACAGACCCCTGGAGAGGGTTGAAGGAGTTACAAAGGTTGTTCTTTGAATGAAATGTGATGTGAAATATTGTGTCAGAGAAGCAGGAAAAAGAAGGGGAGCCACTGATTTTTCTTTGGTAAGAGCAACTATTCTAAACATTTAAGGTACTAAAGCATGGCTGTGTTTCTCTGGGAGAGTAAAAGGGCGGAATAGAAGGAAGGAGTGTAGAAGTATGGCATGGTTTCAATCAGGAAAAAAGTTTGGGGCTGAAGGTAGTGAAACTGTGTCCCTGATGGGATTTCTATGAAGGGCAAACAGAAGAGAAGCTGTCTTGCTCTTGTGACTTTCTCTTGAAAGAAATAGCGAGATTTGAGAGGGCATGAAGTCTCACACTTTCCACTAGCTCAATCATTTTATTGAAGCAGAGCTGCTCTGGAGCAAGCCATTGAAGAGAGAACTTGTTGAAGAGAGCATCTGCTTGCTTGGTGGCTTCTTGCCACTAGTGACAGCCACTCTGGGGCTGGGAGCAGAGCCAGAGAATGTGTGTGAGCTGGGAGAGGTGTAACTGGGGGAGAAAAAGGAAACAAAGAAACAGAATGTGATGGCAGAGCTCTGAAGTTCCAGGTGAAGCCAGCAAGCACAAAACCATTTACATTCTCTTCTATCCTCCTTTCTTGCCCTCTGCTCATTTTTACTGATAAAGCATCCCTGATTAGGTCTTCCCAGTTTTGAAAATCTCACATGCAAGCAGAAATTACCGTCTATGCAAGGATGAAAGTGTTTAGCTTTCTTTCTGTTCTTGATTTTTTTACTTCATGAGAGAAGTAGGTGGCTAATGTAACTCATGTTTATTGCTAAATGTTGCTCTTTGATGTCTTCTTATTACAATAGCCTGATTTCAAAGCCAGCAATAAACTAGAAGGATGGCACCTCATAAACATAGGGCTTCATTTTTGGCCCTGTAAACATCTTGAAACTTAAAATGTAAAGAGAAAAAAAGAGTTGCTCTCTTTTGTTTGCAAATAACTCCTTCATTTCACAAAACAACAGCTCTCTAAGTAAACAAACCTCAAAATCCTGCTCCCTCATCTCCTCTGGCCTCTTGTACCCTTTAGTCAGAAAAAAACCAAACCAAAAAAACCAAATAAAGTAGTTGATTGGTCTTGATCAGCCTGTAGAAGTTTTGATCAGCTAGCTGTGTCTTCACAACTTTTATCAAAACACCTTTCTGGGCATCTGTTTTTATTTGGGGTTCATGCCTGATGTGTTGCATTTTTGTTGTGTGCTTTTTGTCATCAAACTGTAGACAACAAATACTGTGATTGGCTGATACTTTGAGGAACTTTGGGCAGAGGTTATTTTTGTGAAACAAAATGTTCAGTTGTTTCTAAGTTGTTTTTATCAGTCATAATCAGTCATAATAAGACTGATTAGACTCTGTCTGACTAAATTATTTTTAAGTTCCCTGTCTTACTCCTGTCCTCTGACTTCTGCAATACTGGATGCAGTATTTGCATTAGTTAAATAGGCCTGAATAATTTACTTCATTATGGAAAACTAATCTGCTTGTTAAAGCTGTTAGTTTATCAGACAGTGAAATACAGCATTGTTCTGGCAGAGACTTTGCTGGCAGACACCAGTCCTTGTGTATCTTTCTGTGAAGGGATATGATAAGATGAACTTTGTGGCTTAGAGAAGCAGATCAGTCATTTTGGCTATCAGAATTTCTAGTTTCTGTGAGATACACGGTGGATGGTATCTTGAAATCCTGGCTGAATACAATGCAGAGCACCCAGTCTCCAAGCTGAGTGGCACTGCAAACCCCATTATTACTGCCATACTCTCTATCAGCCTCATTAGGGGGATGATGAATGAGCTGAAGCGGTTTATTCCCCTCTTCTGAAAAGACCTGCTGACAATGGTTGCTGCCTGTGTATGTGCACAGGGAGAATAAATCAGCTAAACTTTTACTACAGTAATACTAACCTTTTTTTTAAAAAAAAGACATTCTCATTATCTGCTTAAATCTATTGACTCTTCCCTTCTTCTCTACAGAATCCCCTTCTAGCTTCCTTGCCTTAAAAAGCTGGATCATGGAGAAAGCACAAGTGAAGTCTTTTGTATTTGTTTACTATTGTGCTATTCCCAGGCAAATGAAATGGACTCTTGGGCTTTCCTAAGGCTGAACATGTGAACAAGGCAATTTTTGACTGGGCAGCATTCCTGTCAGACCTCAGTGCCCCAAGCCTGCAGTGGCATTCCCACATGTCAGACTCCACTGATCACTAGTTTCCAGTGTGCCTGCAGGGGCTAGGCTGGGAGGCTTGGCCCTTTTGCCAGCTGTCTTCTCAGGTGGCAACCTAAGCTGAGCTGTGGGTCATACCAGCCAAGGGCAAGTAAGCGTAGTTCTCTCCTGTGTCCTTTTCCTTGTCACTTTCCTGCTGGGTGCAATGTCCTGAGCTCCGCCTCAGCTGTGTTGGGCAGAGCAGCATGGATTCCCTCAGCAGACCACAGGTCCAAGGGGTCTGTGTAGAGGGGATGTTGTACTGCCTGGGGTAAGACTGATAGCAGCTGCTTCCTCCACAGTACTATGTGTGCTGTCCAGTGAACAAATGCTTACTGGGATTGGCATCTGAGTACCCTGGCATTTTGGCTAAGCGAATCCTAAGGAATCTTGGCATCCTGGCCAGGAGTGCAGAACAGTAGATGCAACTCTAAGCAAAACCTACAAAGGTCTTGTTCCTTCCCCTTTAGTTTGTCATGGTGTTAAACTTGGCATTTGAAGATGGCTTTTTCTAGCTTGAATCTAAGAAAAAGAAAACTTTAAGATACTTCTTAAATAAAAAGACTTAAACTTTTTATTTTTGGTTTGAAGTGTGTCCACAGAAGTAAGTTGCTGCTCAGATTTTTCTGGGGAGGAACAGGGGGTGGAGGACAAATGAGGACTTTTTTTCCTCCATTGGAACCAGCTGTGGTTTGTTCGCTTTGTGTGCATTTGGATGGGCACTCTGAAATCCAAACTGGAACTAGCAGTTAATATTACAAACAAGCAGCATAATTTGACTAAACAAGCTTTCAGATGATCACAACTAGGCTTTGATGCTCAAGAGAGGGATTTTCATAACTGCGGAAGTAATTTGAGAACATGCTTGTGCCCAAAGCCAGTGGGGTTATGTTGGCTTCTTTTTTTCCTTTTTGCTTGAAGATGATTATGGTGATGATTCATACTTTTGTTAGTCTCAGCAAAAGAGTGGCTTGCATTTATAGTTGATTTAACAGCTGAGAACCTCTAAGCAAGTAATTCTCTATTTTGAGGAAGAATTTGTCTAGAGAAGATTCTCCCCCTTCTTATTTCTTTTGTGTGCTTGTTAGTTTTATGTCTTTGGTTTCTAGCCCTGGTATTGGCTGACTTTGCAAATAAGAACTTCCATGAGGTCCTACTTATAGCCTTACTTGTTCTTGGATTTTCTGCCTTCGTTTCCTCGCTTTCAGGAGCGAGTCAGGATGGCTTTAGAGGTTCGGTTGATGAACAGTAATTTACTCATACTATTCAATCTGAAATATTAAATTAAATGTACCAGAAAGGTGATTTAAGCTGTTTAGTCTAACTAGATGCCTGTTTTCATTATTGTAATTTCCTTAAACAGAGGATCAAGTTCTTCTTCTGGTTCTGAACAGCATATTTTGTTTCTAATACCAGAAATAAGGACTATTGAAATCTTCTCAGCCACTTTTACTTACTTAAAACAGCCTCATGGATTTATAACATTTTCTGTTGTCTTGTGCCAAATCACACCCTCCTACCCCTGCTATTTTTTTTTTTTTTGACAAGCACTTAATGGTCTGTAAAGCTTTAAAAATAAAAACCAGTGGAGTGACAGAAAAATTAAAGCCATGAAAACTAACTTTCTTTCTGCTGCGTGGATTGCCAGGAAATTCAGGGGTCATGTATGAGTGTATTTTCTAATAACAAGCTGTGTGCTCACATACCATGCTTCTTTAAAGGTCTTGTGGTTGGGATCCCAGTGGTATTGATGGGAAACGTGCAAAGAATTTTTATAAGGTTGTTTGAATAGCTGAGTAACTTTTGAAAGCAGTAGAGTGAATACTTCTGCTTTGGAAAGGAATGGTTCTGTGGATGCCTGAGATGATGATAATGAATGATGGACCTTCAAAGTTAAGTCTTACAAATGCAGTTATCCTCTAGAGGATTTAATGAAAACTTAATATTTTAAAAATTATTTATTTTAACACAGAACACTTGGGTGTACCTGTGATGATTCGGTAGCCATGGCTATGTTCTGATGGTAGGACCTAAAAGGCCACTAGTAGACTTGTAAGCACCAACATGTGACTGTGTTCACCACAGAATAGGTTTGAGTAGTAGAAGTTGGACTTGATCTCAGAAGTCTTTTCCAATGATTGATCCTGTGGCTCTCTAATTCTGTGAAGAGAGGTGATCTATACCTTGTTCAAATGACAAACTGGAGTGTTGGCCTGTGGTGACACATCTGCTGATGCTCTGTTTGCTTTCTCTTGCAGTTTGGGGCAGAGTTCAGAAGGTTCTCTCTGGATCGCTACAAGCCAGGAAAGTTTGAAGACTTCTACAAACTAATTCTTCACATTCATCACATAGCCAACCTGGAAGTGATGATCAGATATGCTGATGTGCATGGAGACCTTCTCCCTATTAATAATGATGATAACTTCTTCAAGGCTGTTTCAAGTGCTCATCCACTGCTCAGGGTTTTTGTCCAAAGACAAGGTAAGATGCAGTTTCATTTCAGTGCCTCAGAGCGTGCTGTGGCAAGAGTGGATTTGTGGCACCCATTTAAAGGCTGAAATGATGTAAGAGGCATCTAGGAGCCATCTTGCTCTTCCTCACAGGCACTTCATTGCAGCTGGCAGGAATGGCATGGCTTCATGGCAGGGAGAGGAACTGCACTGCTGCCTGTAAGGTGTTAGAAGGATGCCATGCTGAGAATCACCATGAGCCCCTTTGTTGTCTGAGGTGAATGTACCTTGTGCTGCTGGTACCCTGTCATCACCTGAGCATGCCAAGTGCACCATTCCACTTGGAGGGAGGGGATCTTAGTACCACTACTTCACATTTAGAGATCTTATCTACCCATGTTGACAGTCAGTGTCACACCCAAGTTATTCATGCCTGTGTGTGAATGCACACAGATGTGTAGTTCTGAAAGAAAAAAAAAATTGTCACAAACAAGATCTTGTTTGGCTGTGTTAACCTGGCAAACAGGCAAATGATGACTTTTTTTCCCACTCCTCTGTCCTTACACTAAGGAATGCTGATTCTTCCCATTTTGAATCATCAAACAAACCTTGGGTAGAACTGCCTGAATGTCAAAATGACATCAGGTTTAAGGCCGATGTGTTATTTTCTTTAAGGACCACGTTTGGCAGTCTCTTCAGAAGAGGATTAGCTTTTATAATAAGGTGTCTTCTTGCAGAGCTCCTTAAATCCCAGGAGAACCTAACACTTGTTAACACTTCCTCCACAGTTTTTTTTCCAGCCGTCTAGTGATTTATAGCACAGGGCTTTTGGAATTACAATCTCGTCAGCAACAGATTCAGAAACAAGACTTGATTTGAGACTTGGAGCAGTCATGTGGCTTTTTTTGGCCTGGATTCTTGCTGTGTACTGATAAGGATTTAGCAAGAGGTTTCAACCTGCTCATTGTTGTTTGCTGGTGCAGTGTGTTTGATTTGGTGTCATCAAATACATCCAGGGCTGTGTGGCTCTTGTCTGTTCAGAGCATATTGTCTGCCACCTTTTAGATGTGATTTTTAGATGCTCAAGGAGCCAATTGAGAAAAGGGTTTAGAGCAGGCTGTTTACTTGGTCTATCTGTCAGGTGAGTGGAAATGTTTATGGGACAAAACTTGCTCATCCTTTTTGTGCAGAAAGTGCAAATGTGTATCACAAATCTGATTAGGTCGTCTTGCAAAGCCTGTTAGAGCTTGTGAATGTTCATGGTGGGTGAAGCCATGAGAAATCCTTTGCATGACTTTGTCATGCCTACTTCAGTTTAAGTCTATTCATGTCTCTGGATCAGTCCTGTTCAGAACACACACCCCTGTGCTCTGGACAGACTGCTGAAACCACTGACCTAAGCCTGCACTGGGAGGGGTTTGCCTCTGAAATGCTAATCACAGAAACGGGTAAATCAGAGAGCTGTTGTCTCCATATAGAAAAAATTCTTCTAGGAGAAGTGTGCTGGTTGTTAAGGTTTCTGACTTTTAACTTTAATGGAAAAGGGCAATATATTCTTTTTAAAACGCTTTTCTTTTACCTGTTACTCAGTTAAAAGAATCATGCTGACAAATGAAGGAGGACAGGCCTGTTCTTCCTCACATGTGGCAAAGCCTGAAATCTTTCCCAACACACCTTCCCCCCCTCTATAAAGCTGAAGGGAACAGTAAATTCTGGTTCATCCCTTTGCTTAGTGCTAACTTTGATAAGGGACTTCTGAGGTTAACATTTGAGATTCATACTTGTGGATAATCCTTAACAGTCATGCTCATTGCTTAGACAATGCCTTTAGAAATTTTTCCTTTCAAGAATGAAGGTGAAATCTTCATCTTTTTTTCCTTTGCTCTGCTGGGGTGATAGAACAGTGCTGGTCCTTCTGTTTGAGACCTGCACAAGAGAACAAGGTGACTAGCACCAAGAAATCATTGTGCCATTCAAGGGAATGTGTTGTGCCTGCACCCTAAATTCTGACTTTGGAGGCAGGAAATTAGCGTGACAGCCATGCTAGTAAAATATGTGAGCAGGGCTCTCTTGGGACTTTGAAGGAGGCTGCAGAGCATGGGCTCTCTAGGCTGTTGGATCAGGGATCACTGCTTTTCAGTGGGAGTTGTCCTGGGATCTGGCTGCCAGGGGCTGTTCTGTGTTGTAGAATAGGGAGAGTTTCAGGGAACAGAGCAGAAATATGCAGGCACAGGAGGACTGAATAGTTGAAGGTCAGGACTCTTTTTTCTAGCAAAGCAAGCTGTTTATCAACTGCATGATTAGTCATCCTGTCTGTTTTCCCAGTTTATTAGCCGAGTTACCCTTTTTCATGTCAGGTCAATTTCACAGTCATGTTAAAACACTTAAAACTTTCTCAGAGTGGCAAAATAGGTAACTTAATCTTTGCACAATAATCAAGCAACAGTTTCCTAGTTTGATGTTTTTCATCTGAGCTTAATCTTGCCCTTTTTCATTCCAAAAGCCTTTCTCTCACTTGTCCCCAGGGGCAAACATTGTGCTTATTGCTTGGCCTCTTCATGCCAGGTTGGTGGGTTGGTGTCCAGGTATGATATGGCTATTTTATTCCTCTCTTTCTTTTCTCTCTTTTTTTTTTTTTTTTTTTTTTTTTTTTTTTTTTTTTTTTTTTTTTTTTTTTTTTTTTTTTTTTGTTCAAATCTCCTGAGTCCCAAATTTTTCAGGATCACAGTAGTTCCACACAGAGGGTATTAGTGCTTATTGGCCAGCCATTTTAATAAGGACTAGAACTGATGTTCCCATTGTGCTTGCAACAATTGTAGTTCATAGTTTTTGGGTCTTGAAGAATCTGGGACATTTGCAGGTTATGTTTGAGTAAATTCAGCTCTAGCAAGTTTTTATAGCTCATAGTGATTTGTCTGCTTAAAGTATATGGTGCTCTTTTTCTTTTTTTCTCCAATACCAAATTACAGTGTGGACAAAAATCCTAATTAGAGAACCAGGCTATAAAAAGAAAGTAATTCTCCTTTGACTTGCTTTCCCAGGCTGCAAGTATGGGTCATGTCCTGTGTTGTAAACTGACGTGGCTCTTTTGGCTTTGTTAGTACAGTAGTGCTTTACAACTGATGCTTTGAGCATGAGGATTTGTTCACTCAGCTGTAACTGATAGCAGACATGCACTGAACTCCCTATGGAAGGTGTCTGCTGCTGTGGAAGGGATAGATGTCTCAAAGACCTTAGAACAATGCAGGAACTTGAGGATGTGTTTGACTTGTTCCATAATAACTTTTGCATTTTGCCCAAGACCTGCATCAAGAAAGAGTTTATCTAATGATGCTGATCATGTTTTTCAAGACTGTTTGGTCTGGGTCTGACTTAAACTACAGCACTTCAAACAATCTCTTGTATACTGCAAAAATATTTAAGTGCAAGCTCTGAATTCAAGCAGAAACATAAACCAGAAAAACTGAAAGGAGTTAATTTACATACTATGAATGAATTACATTATTTCTTGTATTATTAAATGGAATGAAATTATTTTTAATGCAAGATTTAATAATAATTTCAGAGGCACAGTATGTGCTCAAACTGATCTGCATTGGATAATTTTACATAGAATAAATGGCAGAATTATGATGAGCTCTTCATTGTAAACTTGCCTCAAATGACTCCTTGAACTTTGCAGGGTGGGTATAAGGATTTAGGTGGAGGCCTATCAAGTAAAAGAGATTTGAGAATTTCTCCTCTTTTGCTTGTGTTACCTACTGGGGTGTGTTCAATCTAGAAAGTTCAGAAACTCAAGGAAGTGTGGCAAAATGAACAAGCTGATCACCCTGTCAGTGTTCTGTGCAGTGCTTTTTTTCCAAGGTTTCTTTTTTTCCAAGTGGTATGTCTAGGACCAAGTATAGCAAGCAGAGTGAACAGAGCGGTTAACTGAGCACAGCACTGTAAATCCAGGCAGAACTGATGAAGGCTGCTGATGTCCAGACCTTCACTTCCTACCGGGGTCAGCTGGGTTTATAGGGTTTCCATGGGCAGTCGCAGAAAATCTGCTGTAGCTCAAGTTGCAAAGGAGGTGACAGAGGTGGTGCACAGCTTATCTGGTCTCATCCTGATGCCAGGCTGAGGTCAAATGAACTTGCCTGAGAAGCCTTTCTGTTTTGTCCACAAGAGGAGGTATGTTCTGATTCTATAAGAATAACAATAAATTAATAAAGGAGGGGCACTTTGTCAATCGTAAAGCAAATTCTAGGTCAAATTCACAATCTTTACATTGGTAAAGCTAATTTTAAAGCTTTCTAAAGGTTTAAATGGTTTCCTTGTATGTGTCCTGCAAGTATTATGAAGCACTGAAGTGGCAGGAGAAAAATTTATATTTCAGGTTAAATTTGTCAAGTATTACACTTCCTGAAGGAACAGGAAGGGAAAAAAGAAAATCTGAACAAGCTGAAGAACATTCTAATAGCCATTACACTAAACCACACTCCACAGCAAAATGGAGCAGGGCCTTACATCATAAATTAATAAAACCACAAATTAACTGCAGCTGTTAATTGACATAGATGGAAGTTAGAGAAGGCTGATGACTGCTGATATCTGTGTTGTCTTGTGTTTTGCAGTCTAGAAAACTGATAGTATGTAAGAAGCCATCAAGTACCTTCAGTAACTTGGTATAAGTGTATTTTCTTTGGTAGTTTTATTTTTTAATAATTCATTACTGTTACAGTAAACCAGCATTGAACAACAGTCGTTGCTTTTCTCCTTCAGTGGTTAAAACTGCTGTCTACCATTGTTTCTCACTTAAAGCTTAATCCAAAATCAACAGGGAAAAAATGTGCATTTACCTGTTTGGGTTTTGGATTTGCGTTGTTTTAATATAAAGATTGGAAGATGCTGTTTTTCCAACTGCATACAGTGACTAATGTATTTAAACTGCTGTGCCATGCAATATATTTGTGTATGTTCAGAAGCAGTTCATAACTCTGCAATTTATTATTTACCTGGCAAAGCTTTGTGCAGCTCTAAGTACCGACA